GGGGAGACATTTTCCAATTTCAAGTTATTTTTTTTTTTTGGGGGGGGGGAGTTTTTGCTATAGGGCACGTATGCTCGCCAGACAGACAGAAAGTGAGAAATCACCCTCCCCCCGGGAGGGGGGATGACCACACTGCAATCCCTTCTCCTTCATCCTCCTCTCGGGATCTTGGGCATGCACGCACACGCACCCGGTGTGAGTTTAAGCCACCGGGTCCGGGACTCGAACTGTGGTCAACTACATGGGAGTCCAGCAACACAGCCATTATGCCAACTGCTGGTCCCTCAAGTGAGTTCTTATTCCCAGTATTGCTCCTGAGTAATTACGGAGACCATTTTTAGGGCCCATTTCAAGGTCTTACGACCCATCTTTTCAGGGAGAATGAGACTGGACACACGGATTTTCCAAGTAAGGATGCAGACCCTAAGGACAGGAGCAAGTTACTTTGCTGTCTTAGGCCACACCCACGCCCCAAGATCAAGAACAGTAGTAGGCCTTAGCCCTTGCGAGGCCCCCAGTAGGGGCTTTCAAAAGGTGTATATCTGCCACCTGACACTTTCTTGCTTGGGACAGAGAAACCACAACTGCCATGCTGAATCACAGCGACCTCCTCTCCCTGTGCCAAAGCAGGAGGGGCTTTCTATTTTGGCAGCTTTTGGCCAGCATATCTTCATCACTCAGGCTGTTCTTCTTTAATCTGGAGTGTGAAGAACAAACAGTCCAACCCATTTGCAGAGAATCCTCATGTGCCCTTGCCTGATGGAGAGACAGAGTGCCTTGTTCTCTTCCCCTCTCTGTGGGAGAAAGTTCTCTCTGGTCTTTCTCCATTTCACTTAGGCGAACGAACAAACAAAACAAAAACACTGCATTTGTCTGGGAAATGCAGAAAGGAGAGGTGAGGCGGGATGACATCTCAGAGGAATACCATATTGTCCTTCCTCCCTTTTCTTTGCTTTTTCATTTTTTATTGCTTGTTATAATTTGCATACAATGAGATGCACAGATTGGAGCCACACACCTCTGCACTTTGAAAACCTGTGTCTGCCTTTTCTCTGTTGTCACAGGAGGTGCCCCAACAGACATGATCCTGTAAGTGTGGGTACTTCAAAGAGTTGTTTGTTTTGTTTTCATTTTCTTTCCTTTTATTTATTTATTTATTTTTTAAGAGAGGGAGTTTTTTTGCAATAGGGCGTGTGTGCTCGCCAGGGAGACAGAGATAGAAAGTGAGAAATCACCCTCTGGGGGGATGGCCAATCACAATTCCTTCTCCTCCATTCTGCTCTCAGGATTTTGGACATGCACACACACATGCCCAGTGTGAGTTTTAAGCCACTGGGTCTGGGACTTGAACCATAGTCGACTACATGAGAGTCCAGTGCTGTAACCATTACACCATCTGCTGGTCCCATGTTGCTTGTTTTCTAAAGGGAACACACACACACAGAGATTGATACACGAATTGTTTATGTAAGTCTATTTAAAAACTAGAATTTTTTTGAAGCATTTAAAATGATTGAAATGGATTTGTGTATCTATATGTATTAGGAAAATCCTACAGTGAGACCCACTTCAAAATTGAAGGCTGTTTCCCCAGGTTATTTATTGACTCTGACCATGCTTCTTAGTTGACTTTCTGTGCTCTGGGGTTTTTCTCACCAGCCACAGGTAGTGGGCGGTAAGGAAGGAATTCTGCAGGTGGCTCCTGGGGCAGCCACCACATGGCAGCACTGGTGTGTGGCGCTGGGTGGGTGGAGGTATCTGACTTTCACTGCCACCCTCTTGGAGCCCAGCAGCTGCACAGGTACATGAGTACAGTGCGCTCTGGCTGAGACAAGCCTTGCCTCAAGGTCTTAATGGGAAGTCCTGACACCTGCACACGCCGGCTCCCCATCTGGGAGTCAGTCCAGCCCTCACAGCCTGGCGACCGCAGATGACTCTCTAGAAACCTGTCCCCTGCATGTGTCTTGTCTTGTTTTCTCAACTCTGAGCTGGCCGGGTCTGGTGTCTCTGTAAGGAAATGAGGAAGACCTCTTACCAACTGAACATTTTCTCTCTCGAATCATTCCAGCAACCTGGCGAGCAACCGGATCGGCATCCTGGAGTCGGGAGCATTTGATAGTCTGTCACGGTCACTGCTAACTCTTCGGCTGAGCAAAAACAGGATCACCCAGCTTCCTGTGAAAGCATTCAAGTTACCCAGGCTGACACAACTGTGAGTACGGAAACCTGCACTTTAATTAAGGTTAGCCAAACTTTATGGAGGCCAAATTTCCCCAAGGACCTCGTACTAAATGCGACCCCTTCCTCGCTCCCTGTGGTAAAGCTCTGCATTAGCTATCATTAATGGCCCCACGGCAACACCTAATAAAAGCAAATTAGGAGCGGAGTCTGGTGCCGGTGGGCTGCCTCGGCATGCGGAGAAAATGATCCATGGAGCATATGCGCGCACGTGTGAACATTTTCCGAAGCAAAACGAGGAATCCCGCTGCTTAGCTGGTGCTGGCTAATGTGGAGGCCACCTTGGGTTGGTTTCGGCTGCCTTGGGTTGGTTTCTTATTTATCTTAGAGGCTTTAGTGTGTTTTTAAAAGGTACCCATAAAATCTGTACCAAGGGCATGCATGTTCGACAGTTCTCGAGCATTTGGAGAGGAAGTTAGTGTAGCCAGAGGTAGCAAGCTGTAGTTTTGTCTCCTAAATCTTACAAGGTTGTTTGTGTATTTCTTTTAGAAAGGATTTACTTGTTTAGGTTTTCGGTGGCCAAGGCCAAGCTCCTTCTAGAATGGCACAGGTTTTAGATTCAAGAAAACCCCTGTTATGCAGAACCTCATAAAAGACTTTCCCCTGTGGGTTTTTTTTTTTTTTTTAGCACAAGAGCATACTTTTAGAAAAACAGCTGATATTGGAAATTGAGTTTAATCAGAATACAACAGTCACCGAGGCCCAGTGGGCAGCAAGGCAGGATGCACCCAGCTCTCATCCCACTGTGCCACCTCCCCAGGGTGGCGAGTCCCAGGCTCTGTTCTTTTTAATCTGTGGAGAAGATCTTATTGACACTCAGCAGGATTTGTGTGGGGCAGGATCATGAGACATTGCAGAAATATTTGGGGAAAACCAAGGGCTTTCTGGTTAACCCTGTTCTCACCCCGCAGCCCCCAGGATTGTCAGTGGATCCAGCCTTCCCAGATTCCTGCCATCTCTTGGCTAAGTGAAGCTTATCCTGCTGGGGCTAGAAGCTAATGTGTGTCCTTCCTGGGGGGTCTCTGCTGTGTCCAGGAACTTCCCTCCATATAAGAGATCCTGTTAAATGGCCCCTAGTGTAACGTGTTACTGCCATTCGATACCTAGTGGTTAGGTCTTTCCCGGGTTGAGGCATCTGGTGTAGATTTCTGTTGCTGAGCAAAGAGACACCTCAGCCAGTACATCCACCTCCTGAGTCCTACCCGTATCCTCATTGCAGTCACGATTGGCACCTGGGCAACTCAGGGAGGAAGTGCGAGCGCAGTCACTCCGCTCATGGTGCCCAGGCTGGGCTTCGGGCAGCGGGAGCTTTGCCCACTCCTCTTCCACACTGAGCGGGGCGGGGCGGGGCAGCTGCAGTGCTGTACCCCGCTGTCCAGGTACCAGACTGGGATTGCGTGGGGATGGCCGTAAGTGGGGTGTGTGCCTGGGACGCTCTGACCTCGCTGCTTTCATCTCGTTTTTTTTGAGAGCTTTTCGCTATAGGGCGCGTGCGCTCGCCAGACAGACAGAGAAAGACATAGAGACAGAAAGCGAGAAATCACCCCCCAGAGGGGATGGTCACACTGCAGTCCCTTCTCCTCCATTCTCCTCTCAGGATCTTGAGCATGCACGCACACACGCCTGACGTGAGTTTTAAGCCACCGGGTCCGGGACACGAACCATCGTCAGCTATGTGGGAGTCCAGCGACATAGCCATTACGCTAACTGCTGGTTCCCTCTGCTTTCATCTCTTTAGGGACCTCAATCGGAATCGGATTCGACTGATCGAGGGCCTCACCTTCCAGGGGCTCGACAGCTTAGAGGTGCTGAAGCTTCAGCGGAACAACATTAGCAAGCTGACGGATGGGGCCTTCTGGGGGCTTTCCAAGATGCATGTACTGTGAGTACAGGGCAGGGGGTGCTCCGGAGTGAGGCTGCCGCGTGGTCTGATTGAGAAGTGCATGTGCCCCTGCCTTTAGCTGCGGACTGGGTTGAGACTGCTGCACCTGGGCCCAGCCTGTGCCCTGAGCATCGATCTCGGCTGCAGCTGGGCCCACCCCCTGACCTCTGGAAAGTCAGCTGGGCCCAGCTAGGTGACTTAGGCAACCCCAGGGTCTTTTCCTGGCAGATTAGGAAAAATCTCTTGGCAGGGGAGCTTTAGTAGGTTGTTTGGAGATGGAAGAGGGAACCTCCACTTTGCTGGGCCTGCTCTCCTGGCCCCCACTGCCACTTCCTCAGTGGATGCGAGACTGCAAGACAGACCCGCATCCACTTGTACACACCACAGGAAGTCCTTCTCTCCCCATTTTGGGTTTGACAGTCTTTCTTGATGTGCAGGTGGGCCAAAAACAGAGGAGATTTATTTCGGTCTCATGAGCAAATCAAGACACTTGGTGTAGATGTTCAGCTTTTATCAAGGGAGCATTCCCCCCCACCAAAAGTGTACAATGGCAGAACATGCTTGGGGCCAGAGTACCATAAAACAAAAAGGCATGTGGAGAAGACAATGACTGATCTTCTAGTTTCAAACATTTCATTTTATTGTTAATCAAAACAATACATTCTCACAGGAAAAAGCACAGTAAAGAAAAGCAGTCGCTCCCCACCTCATCCCATGCCCTCCTCATTCCCTCTTTACCCCACTTCTTCTCCCAAGAGCAGTCACTTCTTAGCATTTCTCTCTCCGGTTTTTCCATTTTAAAAAGAATTACCCGAGGGTGTACAATGCTCACCAGAGAGAGAGGGAGAAAGCACCCTCCATGGGGCACGGTCACCCCACAGTCCTTTGTCCTCCTGTCGGGATTGGGGGGCATGCATGCACAAACACCTGGGGTTTTTTAAGCCTTGATTTGAACTGTGGCCGGCCATATGGGATCCAGCTCCTTTAACCGCTAGGCTATTGGGTCGGCCCAACTTCTCCATTTCTAGTTTTGCTTGGTGGTTACTTCTGGGTTAACACACTTACATCGGCCTCTTCCCTCACGACCTGGAGATTTCCTGCTGTGGAGTCAGGAGTGTAATTTGCTCACAACCGCCCCTTCCCTCTCCAGAATGTGCAGCTCATAACCATGCCCTGTGTGTCCTGCACTGCCTATCTCTGTAGCTGAAACCAGAGTCTGGACTTTAGGTCCAAGTCCGTGTGGGTGTTGTGCTGCCCTCACCGGAGGAAGCGTCTGCCAGTGATCCCAGAGATGTCTCAGAAGGAAACGGACCTAGCACATACCGTGCAGCTCTTGCGTGGAACATACATTTATACATAGTGGGTGATGAGTTGCCTTCGAGGTTACGTACGAATGGAGTACTTACTTACCTTAGGAGTGATGGCAGACAGAAAATGGAATAAAGCACAAATCTGGTTGCTTAAAGCTGTGTTGATACTGAGTGTGGAGCACAATTGATTGTAACTAAAGGGGCACCTGCCTGGGATAGAGCTGTCCTTGGCGGCGACGGGCCGTGTCGGGAAGCAGTGTGATAGCAACACCGACTTCACAAACTTGCTGAGCGCCTCAGATCAACCCGGCCCTGACATTTGGACGTACATTGTCATAATTCCTTCTCACGGTGGCCTGGCGGGGTCGATGCTCTTGGGTCTCTCCGTGTTACAGACGTTGGGGTTCATTCAGCCAGCAAAGTGGCAAGCAGGATTTAAGGCTAAGTAGTCTGATCCAGAGCCTAAGCGGGTCTCTTGGCACAAAGGTCCAGAGCCCAGACTGGTACCAGTCCTGGGTTGGAATTTGGCCCCTTCGCTGCTTATTAAGCTGTAGACTCTCAGATAAGTTTCTTGGCTCCTCTTAGCCATGGTATCCTCATCTGCAAGAGAGAGATGACAGTAAGAGCTGCCTCCCACAGTCTCCTCTCTGTTCCTGCAGAGCACGTTGCTGTGGCCTAGAGCCCCTCTGCCCGTTTGGGCGCCAGGTTCACTTTAATGCAGCAAAAATAGGCAGTTCTAGGAAGCTCTCTCTTGAAGCTTGCCCTGTTACTTCCACCGTTTTGCTTTTCCTGTCTCCTGGCTCACGCACACGCACACAGACACGCACACGAGTAGACTCCACATCTCTCACAGACTGCTGCGTCCTCGGTGCCGACTGCAGTGTGTGATATGGGAGCGGCTGCTTATTTACTGTCTGCTGGGTGAATGAATGACAGGCCCCCTTCATCCCACCTGTGGCTGTCCCCACAGGCACCTGGAGTACAACAGCCTGGTGGAAGTGAACAGCGGCTCGCTCTACGGCCTCACGGCCCTGCACCAGCTCCACCTCAGCAACAACTCCATCTCTCGCATTCACCGCGACGGCTGGAGCTTCTGCCAGAAGCTACATGAGTTGTAAGTGTCCTCGGCTTGGGTCTGTGGCAGTGTTTCGAGATGCTGCCTCTAGGTGAATTCTCCAGAACCCAGAAAGCACCAGGCCTGGCTGGTTCCACAGCACAGCTGGGGGAGGGTATGGGTCAGGAGGTAGCTCTGGCAAGCAGGCCAAGAAGGCAGGCAGGGAAGGCAGATCCCACACCCACCAACCCATGGCAGGGCCCTCAGCCCCGAGCTGGAGGCCCTCTCTGGTCTCCTGGCTGCTTCCTTCTGCGTTTGGATTTGCAGGGCTGCAGGAGCAGCCTCGGGGTCCCCACAGGGAGCCGCTGTCCCCAGGCCCTCTTGGGTTTGGAGAAGTTTTGAGTAATAGGGAGGGCTCTACTGGGGAAGGGCAGCCCTTGAAGCATTC